TGCACTCATCAGTTTCAAATAACACAGTGAACTCTGAACCAAAATAAGTGTTTTGGTTTACTAGCAGTCCCTTTTAATAAAACGCACTTCTCCTAATAACTGTTATTGTTATATAAACTCGAAGGACCTTAATTTTTCTTTTTACTCGAGAGGAGACAACAACGTGCATGCACCCCCCCATATTTAATAAAGTAATACAAGTAAGGAATACAAGTATGTAAATAACGAAATCAGCTGACTTGCTTTAAATTAAGGCGCTAAGTTCAGATGGCAGGAGATTATATTTCATAATATGTCATTCCAAAAGTGGCTATCTGTTCTTAGCCACATATTCTGAACATGGTGTTGAGAGGTTCATTGTTCAATACTTCAAATGTTTGTGGTCTGTTTGCATAGACCTTAGATTTCAAATAGCCCCAAAAGAAGTAATCTAAAGATGTTAAGTCACAGGAGGCCAGTGAATAGTTGCATTTCTTGAAATTATCCTTTCATCAAACTTTTCTTGTCATACCTCGATAGTTTCATGAGCAGTGTGACGTGGCACCGTCTTGCTGGAACCACATATCCTCCAAATCAAGTGCATTTAAATTTGGCCACAAAAAATTTCTTAACATCTGTCGGTTTCGTTCACCATTCACTGTAACTGCATTTTCTACCTCATTTCGGAAAAAAAATGGTCCGATAATGTCACCATGCCATAAACCACCATACAGTTACCTTTAGCGGATACAAAGGCTTCTCGTGGTTCTATTGCGAATTGTTTTCACACCAAAAACGGAAATTTTACTTGTTAACATGTTCACTTAACCAAAAATTAGCTTCATCAGATAATTTTTTTCGCAAAATTAGAATCCCTCTCAAGTTATTCTAAACTCCAAGCAGAAAATTTTCGGCGCCGTCAGGTTTTACTTGTCAAATGTCAATTCAACATAAAGCCGGGATCAATGTTTGGGATGATACTTTGTAAAATTCGGTAGTTAAGATGGCGGCCAGTTAATTTTCATGGTATTGCTATAATTTATTATAGACTTTGTATTTATTAAATATGTATAACATTGTACAGAGCATACATTTTTATTATTAATCTGTCTGAGTCTGAGTCAGATGAAGCTGCAAGAACATAATCTGATTATGAATAGTTACTGCAAACCTGAATTCTACACATGTCTGTACATTTCAATGAATTTTTAATACAATAACGTGTTCGGCTCACAATCTTTCTTGCAGGAACATGACATTCATTCAAGAATAGCAAAAGGTGCTGGCGCACAGCTCATCCAATCAATATGTAACACTGTATTACCCTTACTGTCCGTTTGACCTTCAGGTGATGGAATGTCTGGCTGTGGATCTAGTGCCTTCTTCCATACCATTGTTTGAAAATTGGTTTTTGCTACATGTTTTTGCAGTGTGTTCTGACATGGAGGAAGATTATGCGATTCCATGTTACTTTGCTTGCCACAGAACAAAACTTAGCTCGTGTACACTTGTTTCTGTGGGCGTGTTACTATACAACCGACATACGAAGGTCTCGAGAACCTTTTTTTTGTCAAGTACCCCTAAAGTATTTCTCAGTCTAGACATGGCAGCTTGAAATTCCTTATATTTACGCACGATCTTCAATGCTGTAACTTTTCCGCCTAGAAACGCACTCACTGTTTCACAGCTAGTGAAGGCGTGTAAGCCAGGTAATGCTAGGCATACATCTCCACTTATGTCAGCAAACATATCGTTCATATTAAAGTACTTGAGCCGATTGATAGTTCCCCTTAGGAAGATATTACATCCTAGTTCGTTGAAGGAAGGTATGGTATGCAGTGTTATAACAGCGACATCAGTATCTTCACAGCGAATAATTACATCTCTAAATTCAGATTTAGCTGCATGATGTGCGTGGAGCAATATACATGTATATTGTATCCTTTTTCATGAGAACATTTCAATGGTAGCACTGCTGTTGCGTTACTTAATGTTAGTTGGTAGCAGCGGTTTTCACAAGTCACAAACATAATTCTGAACCCCCAACCGGTGAGTGTATTTTGATTGTTGCCACTCCTGCGTCAGAAATTTAATAAGCTCTGATTTATTTTGAGATAATCATTTGGTTATAGGATGTGCTTTAATGGCAGAAAAGTTATGCGCTTCAGACGTTCCACGGCCATGTTTGTGACTTAACGTAACTAAGCTACCAATTTTTACACAGTGTCATTCCAAACATTGATCCTGGCTTTATGCTAAATCAAAATTCTTATGATACTTTTACTCCTTACAAATGAAACCAGACTTTAGATTGTTAAACTACGATTTCCGCCCGGCGGCCATTTTTGTGAGGTCGTAACGCTACCGAATTTTACAAAGTATCATTCATACTGCCTTCATGACGAATCTAAATTGGTAGGCTACATTTACTCTCGCGGAAGGAAACCGCACGTGCTCTGTGGCTCAACGTCTATAATGCTGCCTTTGACAAATCTAAAGGGCGTGTTTTTAAACTATTCGAATAGGTGTTCGAGTACTCGAACTTGAAAAATTGCGTTTTTAAATGCAGTCTGAACAAGTTGGTGTCCGTTTTTATATTCACAAGAAAGTTCGAACGACTCGTTCGAATACGATTTTCATGCACCGGGTATCGAGTAGGTGCATGGGATTTGAACATAATTCTAACCTAAAAAAATATATTGTAAAGTGTCGTTTGTCTAGGTTGTAAGTTATTAACACAAAATATGTTATTAATTTATTTTGTGTTATAAAGTAGATATAAAACAATGGATTTGTATAAATGTGGACACTGTAAAGCCGATTTAGTATTAGAAGACGTAACGTATCATCGCTGCTTTAATCCAGAAAATGCAGCATCTGTACGAGTAGTGTTGGACGATAATAGGGGAGGGTGGGTAGGAATGGGTCGTTTTTCCTTCAAGGCGTGACATTTTTCAAAATTTTACTATTATGAATANGAAGTTATTTTGTGCTGACTAACTTTGTTGAGGTGGTTGATTTGTGCTTTTTGCTGTAGTCTCTTTAACAATAGAATATCCTGCATATCCAAATTATTCTCCTCAGCCCACTGAACGCAAACTGAAAATGATTTCTTTGCAGCAGCATTAGAGATCTTTGTTTTTGCATCCATTACTACAAAGTCGTCTTCAGAGTCCGTAAGCAGCACTGACGATTCATTTCGTTTAGCGTGTTGTATTATTTCTTCATCGGAAAAATCCAATGAAAATTCATTTGCACCAGTTGCTAAATCATTGGTATCTTCTTCAGTTATGTCATTACTGAAATTCATAGCTCCAATCATATTTTGGATGGATTTCATATCATCATAGATGCCATCAGACTGCAGTTCATGACGCAGAACCTGAAGCGGTATCATATCTTCATCATCCCAGCACGATGCAGTCCTTGGCCACAATACAGACCAGCTTTTCTGAATATTTTTTTGACTAATGCTTTGCCATGCTAAGTCCAAGAAATAAACAGCATTTTTAAGGTTAAACATTTTTAAAACTTTAACCACGTAGACATCATCATTTTCTGTAAGTAACCTTTACGTTTTGTATTAAATTTTGATCCATAGGAGGCTGTAAGATTGCCGTACAATTTGGTGGTAAAAAAAGAATTTTGAAATTTGGGTCAAAATTAATTTCATCCGCTTTAGGATGTGAAGGAGCATTATCTAATATCAATAATGCTTTGAGTGGTCTGTTAACCTGTGTTAGAAACCCTTTTACTTCTGGAATAAAATGGTTTTTGTACCAGTCCAAGAAAAGGGACGTTGACATCCATCCTTTATTAGTTGCATTATATACCACTGGAATCTTATAACCTTTAAAGGCTCTTGGATTAGCAGATTTGCCAATAACCAAAAGAGGCAGTTTATGTGTTCCTGCAGCATTTGAGCATGTCATAAATGTCACACGATCTTTGGAAATTTTTCTCCCTGGGGCAGACTTTTCCGTTGCATGCACCCATGTGTTACCAGGCAACACTCTCCAGAAAGCAGCAGATTCGTCTGCATTATAAACTTGCTCTTCACTCAAATCCATCTCAGCAACAAAGTCAGCAAACTTTTTATTAAAAGGCTCCACGACGTTTTCATCGCTGGAAACTTTTTCACCACAAATTTTTAGATACGAATACCATGCCGTAACTTAAATTTATCCAACCAGCCTGAGCTCGCTGAAAAATCGTCCTTCCCCGTCATCTTTATATAAAAGAATTTGGCCTTTGCTTTTAAAATTTCTGAGGAAATCGGGATATGATTGTTTCTTTGTTGCAAAAACCATGTATAAAGCGCTTCCTCTAACTCTGGATTTTCTGCTTTTTTCATAACTTTTCTATTTCCTAAAAAAAATTATACATATTAAGAAAATGGTTTATTACATTATTCTGGTTCAAATGTTACCGGGTCCATTATAGGTATTCGAAATAAATTGTTTTATTTTCTCCTTATTTTTTTTATGTCGCAAATCGTTGATTTAGGAACATGGAATTTTTCGGCAACCTGCCTAATAGTTTTTCCCTCATCAAGACTTTGTAAAATATCACACTTTTTCTTTAAGGTTAGTGTTTTATGTTTGCGTTTATTATTTAAAAACATGGCACTTGGAATGGAATTAGACAAACAAGCTTGCGAAAGAATGAACCGAAACTGAAGTAATGATAGAGCGAGATAATGATAGAACATGCGAGTAAAAAACGGGAAACCCTCGAATTTTAATATTTATTCTTGCATAAAAAAAATTTGTCCGGATTGTAGAGGTAAAAATTTTAAATTGTCCGATATGTAGAAGCGTCCGAATTATTGGAGTGACCGGACTGGCGCATGTCCGGACTGTCGAAGTTGTATTGTATACAAGATGCTCCCGAGACCAATGTGACCGAAGAAGACATTACTGAAGAACAACTTGAGAAAACGGAATGGTCGCATGCAGCAGTATTATTTTTAATAGAACAATATCGCGAATACAAAAAAAATTTCCAGAAGAAAAATAGCATCAAGAGACATATATGGCTAAAGTATGTGTTAATATGACTTGTAGGCTTGTAGTTCTTAACTGACACGTATTGAGCATGTGAAGTTTGGAAATTATAATGCTTTTCTCAAGCTGCGTATGCTCAATACAGTCCNTCTTTTCTTCGTCATTTTTTATTTCAGACTTTTCTTCATCCAGTAAACGCAACTTAACCTTTTTTGATTTCCTTTCCTCTATTTCTTCCTTTTCGGGCGTATCGGTCATTATTCTGGTACGTCCCGGTTTTCTTCCACCTTTAAAGATTTTCCTTGGAGCTGCTTTAAGGTAGGGTACAATATCTTCAGGTGAGAGTATCTAGAAATAATAAATGAGTTGATGATAAATTTGTTTTTTTTTAAATACTCACTTGAAGACTTGTTGAAGGAGGTGGAGTTTTTGGCCTTAGAAATGGAGGTTCAGAGCTGGTGTGTTGCACTTGAGCAGCCTCATTCTGTAATGGGCGATCCGTAACAGAAGCCATTAAGAACTCATCGTCTGAGAATATATTCCTATTAAGAGGCCATATTCCAGTACGTTCAAAGCCTTTCATAATATTGTTTTTGCTGAAGGCTTGAACAAATGCTTTTTGCGATAATTCAGCGATATTATAAATCGTTATTGGTTTCCCTGGGTTGGATGCTAGAAAATCATCGCAGGCCTGGTTGTATCTCGTTTTCAAGGGTCCATATACTGCCACATCTAAAGGCTGCAGACGGTGGCTTGAATGAGGAGGAAAAGTGATGAGATGTACACCAGAATTCATTGCTGCATTGATTACTTCAATTGAGTCATGGCTGTCGTGATTATCTAAAAATAAAACAGCGGGCTTTTCCTTGGAACACCTGGCATGTTCAACGAAATGATTAAAAACTTTGATAAAATTTTCGGTTGTCATCCATCCACTGCTGTGTCCCAATATCAAACTATTAGTGGGTGCTGAACGCCCTATAATCTCTAGATGTCTTTGACGCGGAAAAATATATGCAGGTGGAACTGTGTTACCAGCGGCGTTAATGAAGCAACACATTGTTACTAGCTGGCCTCTCTCTCCAGAAGTAACTTGGCCAACTTGCTTTAGGCCTTTCTTTGCTAGCACCTTTTGTGGCTTATGCACAGTAGTCAAGCCCGTTTCATCGCAGTTCCAAATGTCTGCAGCACTGATTGTAAAACGTTCATAAACATTTTGCACATTATCAAAAAATTGGCCGATATTATGCTTATTAAAGCTTGTCGACCTACTCAGACTAGTTGCCTCTGGTGTCCGCAAACTAAGATTAGGATTTCTTCTGAGGAATCCAAATAGCCACTCTCGTCCTGCCTTTTCCTCTTCGTCCCATTTATTAGGAATGTTGAGATTAAGAGCCTTAGCGTATTTATATGCCAATTTCCTGGTGTCGGTTGAGGTAAGACCGTAATGCATTCTTGAGCACTTTTGTAAATAGTTAGCCATCATCTGCTCTTGTTCAGCTGAGAAAATTTGCCGAACTGTCAAATTTGGTTTCCACTCAAATGATTCATTATCTGCAAGCACTCTTGCACGAGCAACATGTCTTTGTAATGTAGAAAAAGGAATGCTGAAGTTTCTAGCTACTTCTTTTATGGAAGAACCGTTGTTCACTTCTTCGACCGCAGCCTTAATTTCCTCAGAACTTTTTCGAACACGTCCTGTCTTCTTAACCCAAATCCTAGGCATCTGCTCAACGAAAAAAAAATAAATATATATCAGCAGGAGGAATGGGTCGCTAATTGTTAGGAGGAATGGGTCGACCCAATCCTCCGCCAAGCCAGCGACACAATCCTCCTGCGTTCATCCTTCAGTAAACAAACACGTGCACTGAGAAATTCAGGTTAGGTAATGATAATTCAGTAGTGGAATTTAGTAGGCGATAGGGCATGCCTTATAAGAAAAAAATACTTGCCTAACTAATGTTAAATATGAACGAAAATATTACAAATTAAAGTAAATTGAAAATATTTACCTTAACGATCCAAATACACACGTGTCTCGATAACAAATGATACTCTACTTCAACGATGTTCGAACAAACGTCAACTCTAGCTCCCAAGTACCGCCACCTATTGATCAATAGCCATTCCAAATATGGCTCGTTCTGGAAAATTAAATAAGGCATACCCATTCCTCCTGCGACCCATTCCTACCCACCCTCCCCTAATATTCTTTATTTAGAAACTAGTAAGTAGTCAATATTTTAATTACGTTTATGATTATACTGATATTAGTGTTATCTAATAAATTTGTTACCTAATATTGATTTCACAGATGCTGATAATCAAAATATACAAGATGCTCCCGAGACCAATGTGACCGAAGAAGACATTACTGAAGAACAACTTGAGAAAACGGAATGGTCGCATGCAGCAGTATTATTTTTAATAGAACAATATCGCGAATACAAAAAAAATTTCCAGAAGAAAAATAGCATCAAGAGACATATATGGCTAAAGTATGTGTTAATATGACTTGTAGGCTTGTAATTCTTAACTGACACGTATTGAGCATGTGAAGTTTGGAAATTATAATGCTTTTCTCAAGCTGCGTATGCTCAATACAGTCCAGCCTATAAATCCTGACAACTAATAATTTCTGATTGCAGAATCTCTAAAAATATGCAACAACAGTCGTACAAATATTCATCTGACCACATCCAAAATAAGCGGAAAAGATTGTTAAGAACATATAAATCCATTAAAGACCACCATGGTCATACAGGAACGAATAGGAAAAATTGGCAGTATTTTGATTTAATGGATAAATTGATGCATAATAACCCAGCAGTCATTCCTCCAGTAATAGTGAGTAATGGTATTCTCGAAAAAACAACTTCTGAGGGCATTAAAATCACAGAAACTAATCAACTAGAACAATCTGATACTTCTGAAGCCGAAAGAGAGAGTTTAGGACAAAGTAGTCCAACACCACCACCGAAAAGAAAGTGTACTACTGATAACGTTACAGCATTGCTTAAAACTGTTGTGGCTCAATCACAAAAACAGCATGAAGAGGAAATGAAGGAACGGGTTAAATTCAATAACCTTCTGGAGAAACTGGTCAATCATGTTACTGGCGAAAAGTAAATAAGGAGTCAAGTGCTTTTTTTTCTTTTTCTTAATTAACATTTCATTTCTGAATAGATATTGTGGCAATAAACATAGACATTTTATTGTACATTAAATAAAATATAAAATAAAGTTTTTGCTGATAGAAAGAAGTTTATTTCTTAAACTTTAATAAAATAAATAATATTTTTACATTACAAAATATTCCCCATTATTTCTCACAATGTATCTCATCAATGTGTTGGTTTATTATAATCTCATGTTGTCCATTATCTCCTTCTTGTAATGGAATATCTTCCCCTTGCCTTATACAAAAGTTATGTAACATACAAGCTGCTGATATAACAAATGGAAGATTATCTGTGTTATGCAGTTCAAGGTAATTCAGCCGCCTCCACCTTACTTTGACATGACATTTATTATAGTGTACTTGCCATTGGTTTAAGTGCCCATTCTCATGAAACGGAGTTAATAAGTGTTGATTTAGAGGGTAGGCAAAGTCTCCCAATAAATGCGAATTTTCAGGGAAATTTTCATTTATATTGCACATCCTAGATATTCGTGAAGAATGAAATACCCGTGCATCGTGCACTGATCCTGGAATCCAATGTAACAATCCGTAAAAATACAATTTGAGTCACATACTCCTTGAAGGATAATGGAAGGTTTACCTTTTGGATTTAGGTAAGCAAATGAATTTTCTTTAGGTGGGCATATAAGAATGTGGCAGCCATCTATGGCTCCTAAGACCTCAGGAAATGACTTCTTTCTCTAAAACAGTAAAATAGGTAAGTACTAAGTTAGTTCTCGACATATGCTTGTTTCTAATACCATAAAATCTCTTATAACATTTAATGCATTCCCTTGTGCCCATGTAATAAATAAGTTTCCTTTCATATTGATTATTTTGCATATTCGAGTAAGGCAGAAAAAAACTGTTCTTTTAGAGACGTTAAATCTGTCTGCTATGGACCTAAAAATATGAAAAAATATAAATATGAAGATAACGCCATTCTAAAATTACCGATAACTTTCTCGGTTTGCTAGTACCCATATACAAACAAGGCATTAAATTTTAACAGGAACTTGAGGCCTTCCTTTATTTAATCTTTGATAAACAGAAGATTCACATAGTNTTGCCGTTGGTTTAAGTGCCCATTATCACGAAACGGAATTAATAAGTGTTGATTATGCAGTCTCCCAATAAATGCGAATTTTCAGGAAAATTTTCATTTATATTGCACATCCTAGATATTCGTGAAGAATGAAATACTCGTGCATCGTGCACTGATCCTGGAAATCCAATGTAACAATCCGTAAAAATACAATTTGAGTCACATACTCCTTGAAGGATAATGGAAGGTTTACCTTTTCGATTTAAGTAAGCAAATGAATTTTCTTTTGGGTGGGCATATAAGAATGTGGCAGCCATCTATGGCTCCTAAGACCCCAGCAAATGACTTCTTTCTCTAAAACAGTAAAATAGGTAAGTACTAAGTTAGTTCTCGACATATGCTTGTTTCTAATACCATAAAATCTCTTATAACATTTAATTCATTCCCTTGTGGCCATGTAATAAATAAGTTTCCTTTCATATTGATTATTTTGCATATTCGAGTAAGGCAGAAAAAAAACTTTTCTTTTAGAGACGTTAAATCTGTCTGCTATGGACCTAAAAATATGAAAAAATATAAATATGAAAATAACGCCATCCTAAAATTACCGATAACTTTCTTGGTTTGCTAGTACCCATATACAAACAAGGCATTGAATTTTAACAGGAACTTGAGGCCTTCCTTTATTTAATCTTTGATTAACTGAAGATTCACATAAAGTTATTAAAAACTGCATACTAACCCGAGACATTCTATAGTGAAAAAATCTGTAAGTTTTGTTTGCACTTTTTTTTCAAACAAGCTTGATTTTATAGTTTTTCTTAAATTTAGTAAAATGCTGACATCATCTTTTTGCTGCTCAAAATATCACAACACAGTATCTACTGCATTTATGGCCTGACTGTGGGTTATTTTTACCTCTTTTTCACCACTATTTTCTTCCTCAACGTCATCCGCCCTAATATCTCTTTCACGTTGTGTCACATTTTTACCAATCATTTCTTACTTACTACTTACTACTACAAAGCTTACTTCACACACGTTTATACAATGCCATATGGATCTTTTCTGTTAACAAAAAATCAAAATGGATTTTTCCACAGAAAAAAACTTTCAAAGATAAAAACATCACATATCGAAAAATAAACTAAAAATATATCAAAAACAAAAAATAAATAGTAACATCAAAAAGCACATGGTAACAAAGAAATAGAAGTGAAAGTGCCTAAGCTTGACCACTAAATATGATATTACCTTCTATTTCTACCTTTGTGCCGGTCCGACCCTCTCCATTTGCCCGTTTCACCAGGTCCCTACTGCTGCCCTTCCCCCTTTGGGTAGACCGCGCGTCGTCACCAGTTCTTCTGCAGTACCTTCTCAAAAAGAAGTCGTGAATAGCTTACCGGGGTTGCTATCCAATTTGACGACCTTGTAAAGGTGAGAGGAGCGCTTGAGAGGCCAAAAAGTAAGCAAGTCATCTGGAGCACTCTTCCATCGTTGATAAGGGAGAGAAATCTTATGCTGTTGAGGTTTTATAGGAAGTAAGCTTGTGTTAGATCCAATTTCACCGTATAATCCGCTGTTTGTAGGAAGCTGGGAACCTTGAAATGCAAGACTTTTTGGGTTGAAGGTATCTGTTTAACTCTCGAAGGTTGAAAATCGGCCGGATTTCTTCATCCGCTTTCTGGACTTGGAATAGCTTGGAGAGGAATCTCGTAGCTGTATTGGAAGCTGCTAGAATTCCTTGTTCTACCATTCTTTGAATTTGTTCCTTCATCCCGGGCGTGGAAAAGCATCTGGATTTGGTTATGGAAAAGGGGACTAAGGGTGTCTTTAATTAATATAAATGAGATTGAATATTCCTTTACTATATTTAAGATCCCCTTGAGAGCTCCTAACTTCTCCCACACCCCCGTGAACTTTATCAACTGGTCACCTCTGAAAGTTGAACTGCTATTGCTTTCTTGCTTTGCTGTAAGTGGAGGCTCTTTTGCGAGATCCGCCCCGATCACCACTATCTGACTGCTTACATTTAGGTGCTGCTTTCGTGGGTCGTTTATCTGTACCTCCTTACATCGTCGCTTTAAAGGTGGCTCTGAAGCAGGAGGTGCCGGCTTGCAGGTGACCAGCGTGATTGTTGGATTGCTAGTGTCTGACCTCGGACAGAGGGGAAGGCCCAAAAAAATAACCCATGTTGTTTGAGAAGATGAGGCTCCTCCGAGAAATGATGAGACGCTGAGTGATCCATTCCAAAAGGAAAGCCACATATGCATTATAGGGTTTGAAGCATTTCCTTCGCTGTTCAATCGCTTCTGCCCTGTCCATGCGTACACTGTAGGATATCGTCTGATAGAGATTTGAACGCGGCCTCTGGACCTAAAAACAGTTCCTGTATGTCTGGTCGCAAACCAGGATGTTTTCCCTCCAGCTTTCTTATTGCTATAGCAAAAGCATTATATCCGTCCTTGCTAAGTGCTCTTGTAGTGGTCCCAGGGTGGGCCAGTTGCTGGTTTACACCCAGGGCCCCAAATATGGGTGCCGCTTGGAGCTTCTTTTGCACGTCTGCGTATCTTATCCGAGTAAAAGAGGATTGACCAAATCTTTTGGCGAGAAATCAAAATCTCAAGCTTCGATTTCTCCTTATCTTCATTTTTCTCCATCCGAGCTTAATTTTTTCTGGTTATATCTTCATTATATTTATTTTCTGATGTATTACCAGCCTTAAAGCTAACACAAAGGTTGCATTGGTCTGTTTTTGAACTGAAAAGACTTAAATTGTTTTCAAGGAATGCGTCGTGAATGATTTTTATAGACAATGGTGCAGTATTTTTTGTTATAATTTTTTACATATTCCTGATAAAGAGAATGCTTGGAAGTCCAGATTTGTTCCAAATATAGTTTAGTGGAGGATGCCCCACAATAACGGGACTTCATCTTTGTCGATGTGTCGAAAAAATCTTTAAGGCAACTTTTTTCATTCTCTAATCTTATACTTTTTCTCTTGCTTTCTTCATTATCAACAAAAGGCTTATCCTTTTTAGATGCTGCCCAATGCATAAAATATTGATAAACATTGTCTTGCATACTCTAACACTGATTCGCATTTTCTTTCATTTGTTGATAATTTCATGATAATTTCTATCACTCAACAAATAAAGATGTGGATAATCACGAATTATATTGATTAATAGTTCTTCATTAATTTTAATTACAAACACAAAACGGCGTAAGATAATATATAGTCAATATATTACTAGTTATTTGATTCTATTTCTATACAACATTACTCTTTTGTACCATCTTATGGTTTTGCGAGTAGAATAAGTCGCTGTCAAATTACGGTGTCTTTACATCTGCAAGGGGAGTGCAATTGTGACTAAGCAATTAGAATTTTATTTATTTGGAGAACTGAAATTATTTAATATAGTTGTTTTTAAAGTAGCATAAACTGATGACATGTAGGATTATTATTGCAAATACCATGTTGTGGAATAATTCCAAACAAATTTTCAATATTATCTTGATTTAAAGTTTTCAAACAAAGAAAGTTAAAACCGTCAATATTTTTCAGCGGATTCCACAAAAATATAACTGATTTAATAGTTATCTGTCGACTTTTATTGAACGAATATTGGTCGGTAACGTTTTGTCCACTATTTTTGTCAATTAATTGCCAATCCCTCATTTGTTGTAAAATCTGACCAAAAATTAAGATGATATGATTCTTCAGTTAACGCACAATGATATGTTTTGCCTTCAAAGTAAGTCTTTTAAAGATATTAAAAAAAAATTCTTAAAAAAGTTTATTTTCAACGCCCTATGTCTCACAAATGAGGCGTTTTAAGAGCTACGTTTACAAGAACTTTTCTTATTAAAAAATGAATCTCTATTACCTTTTACACATCTACCACAAAAAACTGACTCACCCTGTATTTATGCACCAAATTATATAAATTGTGCAGT